TCCTCCAGGCCTGGTGGGTCAGGATGTGCTCCACTTTCTTCCTCCCCCTAAGTGCTCCCATTTGCTCTGGTCAGACATTCCCCTCTCCCTTAACTGCAGCTTCATTGCCGTCCTCTCAAGTAGCTTCTTCTGGGGGGGATATAATTAAGTTTTACAGCCTCAGAAACTCAAAGGAATAGATCTATCCTATAGGGTCCCTATGGATTGAAATAGAGATTATAGCAGTGAGTTTTTTTGGTTTATAGCAAGAAAACCAAGACAATTTATTCCATTTTTGTAACTTTCTTCTATGAAAACAAACATGAGACTTGCTCCTATAAATGCATGATGCCATTGGCGATCCCTGAGTGATGCAAACTCTGACTACTATCTGGAAAGCTCAGACCTGCTGAGACAAACCTCAGAAGACAGCCTGCTGATCTGCTTCCAAAAGCAGAAAATCCTGTAGAACAATTTTACTGGGCACACATGGGTTGCCATAAGTTGGAGTCAACTTGATGGCAAAATTAACAATAACAATACTATTTAAAAAAATGAACACTAGTATCAATGGATAGATCTTTTAAAATTATTTATATATGAATGTATATACATATGTATATCTGTTTGTTTACAGGTAAAAAGCGCAGACTTACCATCGTTGAATGTGGATGTGACATTAACATGATGATTGACCTGGCCAAAGTCGCAGATTTGGTGAGTCCCCAGAGGCAGCTTTTGGTTTCTGATGGGACTGCCAGTGTAATATTTTATTTGTACCATATTGAAGGGCAATAGAATTTATGATTATTAAAACAGTATTAACAGGAATACAGTGGATATATCTGAATTTGTGGTGGTGATGATAAAAGAATATATTTTAAAACCTAAAGATGGAAACCAAATAATAGTTTAGTTTAACTAGTAAATTAGGTCAGCCGAGCATATTTTCTTTTAAGAACTCAAATTGACAATAACAACTCAGAAGATAAGATAGGAACCCTAGGGGACAGTGAGTTTATGTTGAGAGAGAAACAACTCAGAAATGAAGGATGAGAGTGGTTATACAGCTCCAAGAATGTAATTGTCACTAAATTGTACATGTAGAAACTGTTCACTTCATGTAGTTTGCTTTGTATGTTCTCAACAGTAACATCATACTATAAGAGAAAACTTTTAATGAACAAAGCTAACTAAAGTTTATAAAATATATCTGTGTGCAAATGTCAAATACCATTTCTTGAACCCTTACAAGACGCTGTACTAAAAATTTTACAAATTTAACTTATCTAACTACCCAACAAGGATCCCAGGTTAACCATTGGACTGTTAACTGAAATAGTTTTCAATAGGTCAAAAGGGAGAACAAATGATAAAGTGTTACATTTTAACCTAACTACATCTGCATGAATCTACTTTCCAATGCACACTGTAGCAAGGATATTCACATCCCTCCTCAGTGGTCAAAGGAGATTCATTGAAGGCTTAATCCACTGGGGGGACCTCCAAATGGATTTTGGGCTTTCACTCTCATCATGGCCTGTAAACTGCAGGCTCAGAATTTAAGCTACCGTATATACTCGAGTATAAACCAAACAGAATATCAGCTGAGGCACCTAATTTTACCACAAAACCTGCATTAAAAAATGTGCTGAAAAACTCGGCTTATATATAAGTATATAACGGTAATACTGTTTCCTACTCAGTTATGGATTTAATTATTTATAATCCTTGGATCACACAAGCTAGTGTGCTTCTTCTGTGGACTTAGCTGACACATAGCTGCTTGACAAACCTTTAAGACCACAGACGCTAGGTACCATGGAATTTTGCTATAGCACCGTTCCTTAGTGATCTCTTCATGGGGGCAAGTATATTGAGTTTTTAGATTATTAATTGTTCTTAGATTAGGGTTACGATTAAGAACGAGCCCAAAATCCATTATATATCTATGGTTTTCATGTCCCTGGTCCACTTTAGAGACCTTAGTGTCATCCATTCAGGAATGTTATAATTTATCCCCATGGAGCATATAATTCTGACAGTATCATTAATTTAGCCAATGATATAGAATTTCAAATATTGTTGAGAAAATGAAAGTATATGTGTATAGCACAACTTTTTCAGAAGAAGTCAACATCTTTTTCTATAAAGTGTCAGCTAGTAAATAGTTTAGGATTTCTAGGCTGTATTCTTTCTAGTACAACTAATTAACTTTGTATTTATAGTGCAAAAGCAGCCATAAACAATATGTAAATAATGTGGTTGTGTTACAGTGAAACTGTTTATGAAACTACATGGTCTATTTTGATAGCTTCCTTGAGAAGTTGTTTTGTTTTTAGGTTCTGATGCTGATAGATGCCAGCTTTGGGTTTGAAATGGAAACATTTGAATTTCTAAACATCTGCCAAGTACATGGGTTTCCTAAAATTATGGGAGTTCTTACCCACTTAGATGCCTTCAAATATAATAAGCAACTGAAGAAGACAAAGAAGCGATTAAAACACAGATTCTGGACAGAAGTTTACCCGGTAGGTAGAGAAATCATTTTAAAACACTAATACAATAAACATTTTCAAATAGGTTTAATTTGAAGGGTAGACTAACAAATATCTGTACATGATTCACTCCTAAGTTTCCTTTATATCTCTGTCCAGGCCCTGGAATATAAGGGTGCTTCAAGATGTTTATGGGAAAGTGCAATTAAACAATAATGTGGGTTCTTTTCATGAGTCTTTTAAGGATCCTTGTATTTCCCTTGAAATAGTCTATTCCATGTCTTTTGGTGTGTCTTACGTGTGTGTGTCCCCCAGCAGCAGGCGGTGTCTTTCTCTTCGTGTAGTGGGAAGGTTTCTCCTAGGTCCAGGAAGAGGAAGTATAGGGCCTATAATGTGCCTAGTTAACTGATCACAGAATTCTTTCTGTGCTCAGGAGTCTCACTGCCCTTCTCTGCATCACTCCAGACAGATGCCTTTGCCCTAACAACATAGAAGATGAATCATAAAACTTAACTTGCAATTCTGTCCCTAATTCATCCTAACAGAATGAGTTTTGAAAAAACTCTCTAGGTACTGGAAGAATTGAAACACGTGTTTTACTATAAATCTCCCTTACTCAGTATTGGTTCTGGTTTGGGATCTGTTTTGGTGCAATATTGACAATAATTGAAATTTAACTTTTTATTTTTAATATTTAGGGTGCCAAACTATTTTATCTTTCTGGAATGGTACATGGAGAATATCAAAATCAAGAAATTCACAATTTGGGCCGTTTTATTACAGTTATGAAGTTTAGGCCTCTCACATGGCAAACTTCTCACCCTTATATCCTGGCAGACAGGTAAAAGTGAATTGTGAGCTTTTTTTCTTGGACTGTATAATGTAAAGTTAAAAACTTTAGGAACAGTGGATGGTGTAAAATATGAAAATAAAAAATGTATAAATGTATAACTTATCAAGGGTTCACGAGGGTGGGATGGTGGAGGAGGGAGGGGGAAACGGAGCTGAAACCAAGGGCTCAAGTAGAAAGAAAATGTCTGGGAAATGATGATGGCAACATCTCTACCAATGCTCTTGAAACAATTGATGTACGGATTGTTATAAGCTGTAAGAGCCCCCAATAAAATGATTTAGTAAAATAAAAAAAATAATAAAAGATGAGTCATGCATATAGGAAAAAAAATAGAAAAAGTTATGGAGTTTATTTGATTAGTGGGGAGAGAAAATGTATCCAATTTTTTTTGAACCAACAGTATCTGAACAGTACTGTTCCTTTAAGAATGAGTATGCAATGTTTTTGTGAGAATTTTGAAACATTTAAAAGGCTGTAGGATCTGATCCCATCTTGCCTTTTCAAGTTACATGTGCCTTGCATTTTCCTTCCTTCAGGCTTTTACTCGCTTTGTTTTCGTCCTGAAAAATACCCTTTCTCTATTCAGAAATCCAAGCCACATTTAAAAAATTCAAATAGAAGATCAAACCTACCTTCTTTCCATAAAGGTTTTTCTGGGATATGTTCTGTACCCTGATCCCTGGTGGAAGTAATTTTCTGTTTCTAGGATCTTATGTAAGGATTCCATGTCATATACATCATAAGAAGAAGCAGACATGTACCTGTTCGTTTTCTTTTAGTAGACTGAACTTGCTTCTGTATTGTCTCTAAATGCTTAAAAGTGAGTGAACGTAATGAGATGTTGACCTACTGGGAGTTTTTGACATTTATTTTTGTTTTGAAATTTTTTTCCAGAATGGAAGATTTGACAAATCCAGAAGATATTCGAACAAATATCAAGTGTGACCGAAAGGTGTCTCTTTATGGTTATTTACGAGGAGCACACTTGAAAAATAAAAGCCAAATTCACATACCAGGTATCCTTTTGTAAAAGTATGATGCTTTTACAACTTTGGGGGTAGCTTTATGAAAAACTGAGAAATGGCCAAAAATGGAGCCTTCCTACTGGAGGTATAAAATGTAAAGCTCCCTTCCCCCACAACAAAATAAAGCAAAAAAAAAATTGTAACCCATCTGTGTATCTGTCAGCAAAGATGCTGAGTTGACATATCCCCTGTGATTTGATGATGGTATAGTTCAGGTGTCATGTTGGACATTGAGACTCACCAACAGTTTTACTTGTCAACTGAAGCCCATTCTGTGTGTTCTCTCTTTCAGGCTTAGGGGATTTTGCTGTGAGTGATATCAGTTTTCTTCAAGACCCCTGTGCCCTTCCTGAACAGCAAAAGAAGCGCTGTTTAACTGAGAAAGAGAAATTGATTTATGCACCTTTCTCAGGTGTTGGTGGTGTGTTGTATGACAAAGATGCGGTCTATGTTGATCTTGGTGGCAGCCATGTTTTTCAGGAACCGGTAAGATGGGGGAAAGCTTTGATTTGAACTCTATCATTCTTTTTTAATCTATTATTTATGATAGAAAGTAGTATTCTGATTTTAAACTTAGAAGCTTTTCATCTTTATGTTTATTATGTGAAACAATACTTAAATAAGGGGAATATTTAAAAAACAAAAACATAACTAAGCAGAAAGTAAGTCACATCCTCTGCCCTTCTCTCCTGTTAAGCACAAACATGATGCTTCATCTCACACTGAGATGTCTGATACTGTGAGCAGTTTGTTATCAAACTTCCTGTTTTTCTTCAAAACCAGTCTATCGATGTTTTTTGCTCTCTTTGGTGTTTTTCTTTTTTGTCTATTTTTCTTTGTTTACTTCTGTATACAGAGTCCCTAGGTGGCAATATTAAGCACTGTACAACAGCAATTTCATAGGCAATACAAGGTCCAATGATACTGATTTTGTGGGTTTTATATCAAACAGTAGAGGACTTATGTGTGCCCTTGTTTCCTGGACTGGGAATTTAGGGAACTTAAAGCCAAGAGAGGCTGGCTGGATTACATGTATGTGTCCATCGGTTCGTCACCATTTTGCCTCTGAGAATGAAGCTGAAAACGAAGTTAACACATGAAGGGTAGAGTTGGGTCCAGCTAAGAAACCTGAGACCTTGATTCTGGAGCATTTCTGGATGGTAGTTCAAACCTAATCAAAGTACTTCATAATAAAGGCCTGTTGATCTGCTTCAGAAAGATCAAAGTGCACTTTTACTCTGAAACACGTGGCATAGCCAAGAGTTGGAATCAACTTGATGGCAGCTATTCTTAAAATCTGTGGTTAACCAGGGGCTTTGAGTGTAGATATTAAGTACATGTTTTGTAAAAATCATATTGGACCCTGTATTGCCTGTGAATAAATTGTTGTACAGTGTTTAATAACGTCACCCATGGACTCTTTATTTAGAAGTAGACAAACAAAAATAGACAAGACAAAAGAAAAAGACCAAAGAACTAAAAATGTAGATTGGGTGGTTTTGGAGAAAAAACAGAAAAATACTATTTCCTGCATGTGCAGCTTCTAAATCGTCCAAGACTTGGAACCTTTTACACTAAGAAAACAAAACACAAAAAACCCTGAACCTGTGCTGTTGAGTTGGTAAGGACAGAATCTAATGCAATTCGTAACTTTCCTACAAATGCAACTTAAAGATATACTTGAGTTTGCTGCCTGCATGCCGAGCCCGACTCGCCCCAAAGAGCCCAGGCTGGTAGGCCGCCGGGTCTGTGCTTTTCTTCTCATCCAACTCTGTATTACCATGCCACTGTATGAGGGCCTCGGAAGCAGTGGAGAGAAAATGGCAGTCGTGATGGACCTGGGAGAAGCTTTTTACCAAGTGTGGATTTGCTGGAGAATCTAGTCCAAGATGCATAATTCTAATAAAATAAAAAGCCGGTCTGCCTAAGCCTATGTCAGTACAGAAGAATGATACTCCTACTGGAAGGAATTTATCCACATCCTGTATTTCAGGCATCTGTTGGTGAGTCTCAGGGACTGCCAAGTTATGGTTATTGAGTCAGTGTTATGTTCCTCCCACTTCAGAGAGACACTCGTGTTCTCTTCAAATGTTTTGAGGTTCCATCTGTCTTACTTGCTCCAAGCCTTTTTTTTGGCTCCTCTGACTCTTAGGTTTAACTCTGCTGTGGTCCTGGATTGCGGATACAGGGATAGATAGCTACCTATCTATGAAGGAATCCCAGTATTAAATTGTTTGGGAGCACTTACCCTAGGAGGAAAAGCTCTTCACAAGGAATTGGAAGTTTAACTGTTAGAACAATGTACTGTTTACACAAGTACTGCTAAAGAGCAGAGTCTTCCCTCAGGGATGGGTGCTGTTCCAGGAGGTGACTTAGAGGACATTAAAGTTGACACTTGCTTTGTAATTGATCTGAAGCATGGACTAAGTACTCAAGCAGCACAATCTACCAGTAATATTGATAGGGCAACTGAGAGCACCCACACCAACCCCGAATGTTGATTACAAATTAGATGAGGAGATTTTATATGTCCTTGGATCAGTCAGGGATTCGGTTGTGGAAATTCTTTTTGAACAAGATAGTGAAGAAAAGTCATTTGCCACTGTAATACTGGACTCACGTATGCAGTGCCCAGTAGACCCCTAAAGCAGCTATCAGAGAACTTGGTCATCATTAGTGTCACATCTAGGTTACTAGGATTTCTCTAGATTGCTTGCAGAAATAAAGATATTTGTAGAAAAACCAAAATATTAAGAAGCACTTTGGCAGCAAGATATTTCGAATTCTATCAGCAAAGACTGTGTGGCCTGATTGAGAGGAGATATTTTTTGGAGCACTGCAAGAAATACTTGGAAGCCATTCCATCACAAAAGAATATTATCAGACAGGTCATATACCAGATTGGCAATGATGTTTGCTGCTGGCAAAGCCCATCCACCTCTGATGAACAGAACATTTACCATTGAGAAATAAAAACTTGATTAAAATTTAACTTTGCTTGATTTCAAATATTTAATCAGTTCTAAAAATTGTATGAAGTGTGTAAAATGTTTTGTTATAAGCAACTTTTGAAGAGATGCCTTTTCTGTTCTGCATTAAAATTCTTTTGACTTTTTTTCTCATGCAGTAGTACAATGAAAGCTGATGCTTGTGAGATTTTACTGTATATCAATACATTATAGTAAAATAGTATAATTTGGGAAGCTTAAAATTGTTCCTCTTGGGTATTAAGGTATTTAGGAATTATTTAAAGAATAAATAATGTCACCATTACCAATTAAAAAAAAGAGATTTACTTGGGAACAGATCTCACTGTTAGTCCAGGATACTTTCTCCTGCCCCCCACCCCCCACCAAGATACCTTATTAGTACCAAAATTCAAGCACATTGCTATTGAATAGACTCTGACTCATGGCAACCCAGTGTGTTTATTGAACTGCTCCATAGGGTTTTCATTGCTGTAGTATTTACTGAGAGGAACCCTTGTGGCATAGTGGTTAAAGGGCTTGGCTGTGATCTAATAGATGACAGTTTTGAGCCCAACAGCTGCTCTGTGGAAGAAAGTTGTGGTAGCCTGCATCTGAAGTTTTACAGCCTTGGAATTATGGGACTTTCCACTGTCCTGTAGGTCAACTCCATGGCAGTAGTTCTTTTTGAGCAGGTTAATTTTAACAGAAGGAGCTCTGGTTGCCTAATGGTTAAGCACTTGACTACTAACTAAAAGGTTGGTATTGGGACTCGACAGCTACTCCATGGAACAAAAGACAGCAATTTGCTTCCATAAAGACTATTAAAAGTCTAAACGAAACTCAAAACCATGGAGTCTGTTTCATCTCATCGCAACCCTATGTGTGTATAACAAGGAAACATTGCTGTGCCATTTCCCACAATCATTCCAATCATTGTGTCAGTTCCTCTTCCTCTGTTTAACTTACCCTTTACTTTATCAAGCATGCTGTCTTCAAGAAATTGATCTCTACTGATAGCATGTCCAAAGTACATGAGACAAGTCTGATGTTTTTGCTTTCTAGGGAGCAAGTTCTTCTGACTGGTCCTGGCAATCCCTGGTATTGTCATTCTTTGCCATCACCATAATTCAAATGTATGAATTCTTCTTTGGCCTTCCTTGTTCGTTGTCCAGCTTTGGCATGTGTATGAGGTGATTGAAGATATTGTATGGATCAGGTGTACCTTGGTCTTCAAAATGACATATTTGCTTTTTCAGTTTGAAGGTTTTTTGTAGCAAGTTTACCCAATACAATATTTCCTTTGTTTTGATTTTTTGACTTCCATGAGCATCGATTGTGGACCTAATTAAAATTCAGTCCTTGAAAATGTTAATATTTTCTGTTTATCATGAAGTTACTTATTAGTCCAGTTGTGAGGGGTTTTGTTTCTTATAGGGTGAGATACAATTAGTAAAGCGTATAGCTTAGGAAACCCTATGGGATAGTTTTACTTTGACTTATAGAATCCTTATGAATCTGAATCAACTTGATGGCACACAACATTAACTATCTCGTTGGAATCAGTTCACCAGGCCTTTCTCCAGTGGTGCCGATGAATAGGTGTGAATGTGAACCGCCAAACTTTAGATTCATAGTTAAACAGAAACCTCTTGTGCCAGGAATCTTGTCTTTCTTGATCTATCAATTGATCTAGATATCTATGTATATAAGGAATCTAGTGTCAGAATGGTTAAGTACTCTTACTAGCTAAGTAAGCTAATTAAATAGATAGCTAACTAAGCTAGTTAGATAGTTTAGATAAGCTCAGCTGTTCCATGGGAGAAAGAAGTTTGTTTTTGTAAAATTATAACCTAGAAAAAACTGGGACAGGTCTACTCTGTTCCATGGGGCTCCTCTGAATCACAATCAGCTTGACAGCCTAGCTTATCTAGATAGACATGCAGAGACATTAAGAAGCGCAAAAACCCAGCAAAGCCAGATGAAACAACAAAAGGAAGTCAAGACCAACAAAACAATAACAACAAAAAAAAGAAAGCCACTGACAAAAATGGAAAGGCCTATAAATAGTTCAAGGTCTCTTTGTTGGCCTTTATGAGTGTTTTCCAGTCTAATCTGATGGGGTGCCACACTCTGTCTCCAAAGTCTATTCCCCGGGGATTTCATCAGTTGGCTCCTCTTGCTCCTCTGTTGAATGCCGTGAGTGTTTCACCCCAGCGTGATGGGGTCAGATTGTACACAATTCCCGCATTGTGTCTCCAGTATTGGCCCCCGCACCGTAAGGGATGTCATGTCTCTTGGGAGGGCCAGCCTATATAGTTGATTTTTAAAGAAGCACAGTACTTATGGTGAAGGGTTGTTTTTTTTTAAGCGACCTTGGGTTGATTTTGCTTTAAAATTTGAAATGTACATAGTGCAATAGCTTCAGATTGAGCCCTCAATTCTGAACCAGTCCGGTAATTTTTTTTTTTAAGAAATTGGCGTTCTGTTACACATTTTTCTGATATGAACATTCAGTAATGGTAAACTGGTACCATCTAGGTCTGTTGCCAGCCCAAAATGTACATAGGCTATTTGCCATTTCTTTTTTGAGTCTTTGATTTCCTCCTTTCTCTTAGTTTGGATAGGTAAAGACCAATAGTTGTATCTTTGATTACTGCTCATAAGATTTTAAGAACCGTGGCACTACTCATCAAACTAGGATGTTGAACTTAACTTAATGAACTGTATTATGCCAGTCATAGCCCTGATCCTTCAAATCCAGAGTCTAATCTGGATTTGTCCAAGAAGTGTCCAGAACTATGCCCTTTGTCTGCTTTATTATGTATGTGAGCATATAGTCATATAAAAAAAAACAAAGCAAACAAACCCTACTACCATTAAGTCAATCCAACTCATAGTTACTCTGAGTAGGATTCTTGAGGCTATATACTTTTATAAGAGAAAATAGTCCCATCTTTCCTACTTTGAGCAGCTGATAAGTTCGAACCACTGAACGTGAGGCTAACTTACCTAGGAGTGCCATCAGGGTTCCTTATAGTCATATAAAAACCAAACTCCCTGCCATTTATGAAGCACAGTGACCTTACACTTTTATGCACGCTTATACATATGTCATATAGGCTCACACATTTTGAACTAATGTGAAGTTTAGATCTTCATATTCTTCATGTAGAGACACATTTTGTTGAAGAGACTGTGCCTTCTCTCTGAGTGGATTTGGCACCCACATGGAAAATTAATTTATCATAAATGTTTGGATATTCATTTCTATTCCATTTGTCAATGTGTCTGTCATTAAACCAAGTCCATGCTGTTTTGATCACTATAGCTGTATAGTATGTTTTGAAGTCAATATGCTTTAACTCTTTTGGACCTCTTATCTTTCTATATAAAATGGAGAATTAATTTTCCTGTTTCTGTAAAGAATGCTGTTGGAGTTTTTATTGACATTGTTTTGTATCTGTAGGTCACTTTGATAGTATTGACATCTTGAATCTATTAAGTCTTCTAACTTATGAACATGAAATGTTTGTCCATTTAGGCCATCTGTACTGTCGTTCAACCCTGGTGTGATTGTGGGTAATCACAGAGTTGTCATTTCAAACCCACTTTCCTCCCAACGGGAGAAAGATGAGATTGTCTGCTACCACAGAGATTTAGTCTTGGAAACCACAGGGAGCAGTTCTACTCTGTTCTATAAGGTTGCAATGAGTTGCAATAAAATTGAAAGTAGTTGGGTGATTTAGTCTCTCAGCAGTGTTTATAATTTTCATTGCATAAGTCTTTTATATCGCTTGAGTAATTTATGCCTAGAAAGTTTATTCTCTTCACTGTAGTTGTAGATGGAGTTTCTTTTTTACTCTCCTTTTCAGCTCTCTGATGCATAGAAACCTGATTTTTGTTTGTTGAAATTGAATCCTGTAACTTTCTGCTAATCTAGAAGCTTTTTAGTAGATTATTTGCTTTTTTGTTTTTAATGTGTAGGATCTTGTCATCTTTAAATAGAGATAATTTTAGATTTTCCTTTTCAGTTGGATATCTTTTATTTATTTTCCTTATTCTTTGACTAAGTAGAATTACTTTAACCTTTTTGACTTGTAGTACATCATTTTATAGGTGAACCATATTTACTGAACCACTTGTAAAGGTCCGTGGGGTTTACTCTAGGGTTCCCCCTAGTGTGGAGAGTGCTGCAGTGAACACTTGTATGCCTGAGGCTTTGCTCATTCCTGGGAAATCATTCTATATAATAGAATAGATTCCATGAAGTGAAAATTTTCTGCCAAAGGTTAGCAAACATAAAAACAAAACAAAAAGTTCCAGTTTTGATTTCTTTGACTTCTTCAATGTAATTTTAAAAATAGTTTATTGACATATAATTTACATATCATACACTTAAATAGTTTGGGCATATTAAAAAAATTGTACTTGAAAGGTACATAATTTTATTTGGGTGATACTTTTTCTGTAGTATAGAACCTAAAACATGCTTAGCTAAGTATTGAGGCTACCAAGTTATTTAGTTTATGAAATTGGAAATGATTTGATGAAGGTAGGTATCAATGACAATTTTGTGTTCTTCATGAGGCAATAAGAAAGATTCTCAAAATTAGGTTTAAGATATTTTTGAGAAACTGATCGAAACTAGTTTGTATCCATCAGAATCCTTTGTACTTTCCTCATTTTTCCTTTTTTGACTTCTTTGATAGGATGAAGTGAAGCCGACTCATGAACTGGTCCAGAGTCTTATTTCCACCCATTCCACTATCGATGCCAAAATGGCTTCAAGTAGAGTGACATTATTTTCTGATTCCAAGCCATTAGGGTCAGAGGACATAGAAAATCAACAGTAAGTCTACTTAAAAATATTTTTTTTTAATTTGAAAATAATGTTAACAGAAGATTCTGTCTCCTGTATAATTCTACTGCGTAGCAGGAGTTTATTCTTGTTTTTTAAATGTGTGCGCTTATAAGGGTTCTTTTCATGTAAGCAAAAATATATAGAAGTATTTTCTCAAAATAAGATGCAAAGTTCATTTTGAATAGATGCATAATATTATTTAGGAAATAAAAAGCATTTCTATAGGTTGCTTTTTGTTTCTTTGGAAACCTGAAACCATTGGATATTTTGGTGGCCAAAATGCTAGAACAAGACAGTCCTGAACTTATTTAGAAGTCTGTCCAGAAGCCATGTATTGTATCTCTAAAATGTTTCTTTAGATTGTGTTATAATAGTATCTTGTATGGGTCAGTTTCCACTCTATATGGCTTATATGAATTGTTTTTCAGTCATTGTTGAAAATTTATATCCGTTGTAGGTAGTGGATATTTGTTAAACATTGATTTGATTTTACTGATATATAACTTCTAATAAAACTAATCTCAACAGTAATTATGATTATATAGCATGTAATTTTTTATAGTTAACCTATGGCTGTAAATAAGATCTATTTCTAAGAGTGTCATTATGTCTAATTTGTTGGTGAATTGGAACAAAGGATTTGTTATGGACAGGGGTTGAATAAGAGGGCTTAATTATTTTAAACTGAGCACAAAATTACATAACTTTAAAGAGCAAGTATGATTTATCTAAAAGTTGGACATTTGTAACCCTGGGGATTGCCTGCATACAAGCATGAAGGAAAATTTGAGGACTGTCATTTACTCTCATCCTACCTATCAGGTAGTATAGTGTGTTAGTTAAAAGGAAAAGATACTTTCATGTGGGGAAATCAATCCATAAATCTCAATTTTCAAGTATCTCTAAGTGCCAGAGTGATGAAATAACAGTGATCATAAATTACCGATGTAGCTTAATTCTGGGGCAAACAAAATGTGTTCACTGAAAGGTTACCATGATTATGTTCTGTGTTTGGTATTATGTACCGGACCGTATAGACTCGTGTAAAAGCCGAGTTTTTCATCACATTTTTTTATGCTGATAAAGCCCCCCCTCGGCTTATACTTGAGTGAGGTTTCCACTTACCTATTCTCTGATGCAGTGCCAGTGTTCTCCGGTCTGTCCCGCTCATCTGCGGGTGCTTGCAGCCTCTGTGGGGGGTCCGATGACTGCTGATATCACCGCTCCTCTTTTCTCCCGCCTGCTGGCAGCCTCCGTGTTGTCTGTGCCATATTGGGCAAGAACCTGCCCCCTTCTGTGTGCTGGTACCTGGGGCACCCTGCATCCTTGTCAGATGAATGTCGCATGCAGCCGCTCTTCTTCTCCCGCTCTTCTCCAGGCTTGTGACCAGTGCCGTAGCCTTCATGGTCTTCCCCGTGTTGGTCTCGCCCCCTTGCTCTTCCCAAGCATTGCTGAATACAAGTACTGGTATATCTTTGGTCTTGGATATATAGTATGTTTATTTACAGTACTTAGTCTGCTATATTTTATTTTTTATTTTCTTATTCACCCCTATCTGGACCTAGTGTTGATTATGCTTGCATAGAGCAGCCTGTGTTAGGGCTCATAATACATACGCTGCATTGTGTACATGTGGTAAGGCAGGATATGTAGTAATGCAGTACATGGAGTAACACAGCGTGTATAGTTATTGTTGATACCATATTGGTTTTGTTGACCTTCTTTTCCACTTACAGAACTAGTTTATTGTTTTTCTTTGAGATAAATATTCAAAAACATTTAACCAACTGATGTCTCAATTAATGTAATTTTATTGGCATCTATTTTTATTTTGAAATTTACCATTAGCTGCTGCATTTCACACCCTAGGTTTATACTCGAGTCAATAAGTTTTCCCAGGTGTTTGAGGTAAAATTAGGTGCCTCAGCTTATATTTGGGTCGACTACTACTGGAGTATATAGAGTACTTTCATTATTGAGTTCTCCTCTAGTTAACTTTGTGTAATGTATACTTTTTTCCCAGTGTAGTTATAGTCACGATACAAGGGAAATTTTCTTTTTCCCCTTTTCAATTCTTTTTCTAATTAGTCTTTGATACTTTTACCATTTTGTTGCTAATGCATTCTAATTTACCAGCAGAAAATTAGGTTTCATGCTGATGGTTGTACAACTCTTGTTACAATGATCGAACTACTGAATTGTGTGATTTGTGAATTATATGCCAATAAAACTTTAACGGTGTATATTAAAATAAGTAATTAAAGAAATACTAACAGTTGAACCACAATTTTTTACAGTGATATTTTATTTTTTAAGTTTTCATGTATATAATTTTTATTTCATCACAATTTTTAGCATATTGGTTGCTTATCATTGTACGTTATCCTGGTTGAGATGACTTTTATAAATTAAATTATTTTGCATTTGCTTGGTATAATATAGATTTGGTATGCCAAAAGAGGAAAAGCACATGGATTTGAAAACTGGCCGCGTGCGACGGAAAGCCATTTTTGGAGATAAAGATGAAGAGTCTGGTGAAAGTGATGATGAAGACGAAGAAGAAATGTCTGAATGTGATGAAACAGAAGAGGAGGAGGAGGATGAAATAACTGACAGAGAGCATGTGACTGTTAAAGTTATCAAGCGGCAGAAACTTGAGGAGGTGGAAGAAGACATTGTGGTAGATTTGCCAGCATTTGCCGATAGTGATGATGACCTTCATAGGAGCGCTGAGGATGAAGAGGAAACCAGTGAAAGTAGTGAAGAGGAATACACCACTGTGGAAACAGAGAGTGATGTTCTAGAATCAAGAGCTATTGGAGAAAGTAGTAAATCAGGATTATTAGAAGCTAATGGCTTGAGTGACAATTTGAATCCAGAGAAATCTTTGATGTTGAAAAAAGCAATCTTCACCACTTCAGATTCAGGTCATTACACAGCTGAAGAGGCATTTGCATCTGAAGATGAATCTGAAGAAAACTCTTTTCTCAGTTTAAAGGAAGAAGGTACAGAGGATGAAGATTTTATTGGGGAAAAGCGTATAAAGCCTTCTCAAAAGGACAGTGGTCAGAAACTTGGGCCAGAGAACTTAACTGATGAGACCAGTGAGGTAGAATATTTATTCAAAGAGGAAGACTACAAGGAAGAGATAAACTCTTCCACAGAAACGTCAGGTATGCGTAAATTGAATTGGTTTCTTTTATAAACTTGGTACTGAGGACATTGCTATAAATATATAATGTCTCTCCATTTGAGATGTTGTTCCAGAGATTGTGCTAACTGTTCAAATATTGTATCTCATAAAAAGATAGATGAACAGTAATCTTGATTGGAGGGGGGGATGAAATACTGTATGTATATTGATTGGGGATAATATATATATTAACTGGGATGTTGGCATCGGTCCTTTAGGTACCCTAAAGTGGAAAGAAGATCTTTCTAGGAAGGCAGCTGAGGCCTTTCTGAGACAGCAACAAGCAACTCCAAACCTTCGAAAGCTTATTTATGGGACAGGTAAAGAACTGGTTCAGAGCTAGAAACAAATTTCTTACAGTATTTTCTGAGAAAAAACATTGGTCAGAAAATTTGGATATCCACAAGATAGTCCTGTCACATTTTATATTTGACAGACTTAAAAGTCATTAGATCATAAACACCAAAAATCAGTTACATGAAGCAGTTTAATGCTGTAAAACACTGATCATTATGTTACATAGTATCTCCTACATACAATTCTTCGTGGGAATTTTATCGTAGAATTTAGTGCCAGAAAAAAGTTTTTATGTGTGGTTTTTTCTTATAAAAATAAGATGTCCTTATTCTTTGATTTTATATTTTATTGAACTTGGTGATAGCTTCTTTGGAAAGAGCATGCGTGTGTAAGAGAAAATATAAAGTGATTCTCACTTTGAGAGCATATGTGGGCTAGAAGCATCAGATCACACGGTTGGTGTGGACTTAAGCACATGTGATCTAGTTCTTGTAGTTCTTTGCCAGCTTTTAGTCAGGTTTTGCTTAAGTACTTATAACTTAAGCACTTAAAACATTCTTTAAGAGAAACTAATGATTTGAAGCTGTTCTAAATATCATCCTCTCCTTCCTTCCAATATTCTCACTCGTCATGAATTCTCTGCCAGAGTACTCCAGAGATGTTGACCAGCAGCTTCCTGGCTTTGTGACTCTTTCTCGCTGATTTGGTTGGAACCACCATCATAGCTACCACAAACCCCTACGTTCTAAGCTTTTGGCTTAGCTACTTAATGAATTTTGGAGGATTATAGTTTTTTCTCTCTCTCATTTTTCATCATGGTGGTCTCTTTAGTGACAGAAGATAATGAAGATAATGGCGACTTCAGAGAACTTGGAGGCTTGTTTCATGTTAGCCATCCTGACAGAGAGTGCAAGCACAAGGGTGACTCTCTGGACTGCTCTAAATTTTTTGTGGAAGCACCCCACCATTGGGATTTGGAGGAGGTAAGGCTGAATAGTATGTTTTGATTTCTAAAAGGTCTGTGAATTTTATACTTTTAAAATAATTTGAATAATAATTAATACTTTTAAAATAATTTTATGCTTTTTAAATAATTTAACAGTTTTAGTGACACAATTCAATGATTTAGACCTATTAAAAAGTTTTGCAATCTTTATAATCAGTTTCGAAGGGATCTTTTTTCTAAAAGAGATGTCATTGTTGAAATCTGTATCTGATTTACCTGTTAGTGATTTCTTATTTTTGTGAGATAAGAGGAGTTTGATCAGATAGTGGAGTCTTCCTTTCCCCCAAACTTTTGTTTTATATATTATTCAATGACCAAATATTAGAGTTTTTCTTACTCTGGATTTAGTGAATTATATCCCTATGTGCATGCTTCTCTGTCTCTTATACTTCCTATAAATTGTTTCAGAGCCTTATCAATAGGACTTTCTGTCACGATGAAAATGAACTAATAATATCTAAGCTGTCCAGTATGGCAACTGTGACTATTAAGGCCTTTAATGGCAAATGAGACTAGAGAACATAATTATAAAATTTAAAAAATGTACTTACCATATATACTGGTGTATAAGCCGAGTTTTTCAGCACACTTTTAATGCAATTTTTGTGGTAAAATTATGTGCCTCGGCTGATATTCGGGTCGACTTAAACTTGAGTATATATGGTAATTACAATTTGAATAGCTATGTCATTGTGGCTGCTGCATTGGAGGTTTGATTGGCTCCTCTCCCCCCTTTTTGCAAAACTGCTTTATAGGTAGTAGTTTCTTTCATGAAAGATATACAAAGTTGAATTTCATTTTTTATGATATTAGCAGCTGTTTATACACAATGTCTCCAAACCAAAATCAAACTCATTTCCATCAAATCAGTGTTAACTCATAGTAACCCCTTTGTGGGTTTTCAGGACTGTCACTATTTACAGTTGTAGAAAGCCCTATCTTTCTTCCTCAGAGGGGCTGGTGGTTTCAAACTGCCAACCATTCAGATAGCAGCCCAAAATAAACTCCTACATCACAAGGGCCCCTCTTATACACAATGTCTAGATTAGGGGTCCTCAAACTTTTTAAATGGGGCCAGTTCGCTGTCCCTCAGACCCGTTGGAGGGCCTGACTATAGTTAAGAGAAAGAAAAAAAACTATGAATAAATTCCTGTGCACACTGCACATATCGTATTTTGAAGTAAAAAACAAAATGGGGCAAAAACACCCAGCGGGCCGGAGAAATGTCCTCGGCGGGCCACAGTTTGAGGACCCCTGGTCTAGATCTTTTAATTTGTTAAGATATAAAACGATATTCTGTTTAATCTTTCCTTTATTCATTTGCTGCAATACTTTTATAAGGAGAAAATTCACCTCGGCTATTATTTGGTTATCCAGTTTCATACAGGCAAGATAAATGCTCTTTAACAATTTTTAGAATAACGATTCTCTAAAAGACACTCTCTTATTTTTATTTCTTGAAGTATCTCTACAAACTTGTGGATTTAAATATAGTTTATCTGTTGTTGTTTTTTTCTATTACATTATTATCCAACTGATGGTCATCTGCTCTCATGGCTAGTGGAAATTGGGTCCTTTTGACATGATGCCCACACTCCTTGTTCTCTTTTTTGCTATCTCGTATGGTAATGTGTTCCAGCTTCATCTTGTGCATTTTTGACCCAGATTGGGATTCTGATAAGGATTGGGTTGATCCTGTAGATCAGTTTGAGAATATATATTTTGCAAAGTATTTCATTCTTTTATGGCCCTGTTGAAAAATTAACAATTTCATTTTTGGATTTTTTATTACTAATGTGTAGAAGTATAATTTATTTGTATAATAAGGCCTATAAAAGCTGGACACCTGTGTAAGATGGAAACGTATTAGAAGGAAAATTCAAGTATTTTCCACTCAAGTGAGCACTAGAAAGTGGGAAGACTATACCTTGTCAAAAACAGAAAACTTGTGAGACCTGGAAAAACAAGGTAGTTTGGTTGAGTTCTGCCTATCACTGGTTTCATTGCTTATGGTGAACTTACATGCCTTAGAATTTTCTATATATCAAATCATGTCTTCTGTGAGTAGAGAGTTTTCTTTCCAATCTGGATGGCTTTTATTTCTTTTTATTACCCAGTTATCCTATTTAAAATATATATTAATTAAAAATAGTAAAAATGTACATCTTTTCTTGCTGTGGCATTCTTTAAAAATACCCATTAACAAGTTGAAGTAGATTATTATTTTGTCAATTGGTTTTATCATAAAATGGTTATGTGGGTTTTTTTTTAAATTTGTTTTAAGTAGGTTGTTAAGCTTCATGAGAACAAGGGGTTGCTTATAGTTTGCTATTCAGTGTATTCTCTGGGCATAGAATTGGTGTTCAGTAAACATTTAAGGAGTGATGGTAGTCATGAATAAATAACACTTTGGGATTTGTTGTAATCATGTTCGCTTTTAAGGCCACTCTGGGTGAAGTTATATGTGAAAAACGTATAGTGACCAAAATGTGAATCAGGGCCTATGTGAAGATTTCTATAAAAGATATACTTTTTATGGGCTTTGGAATGAATGACTAAGTCTTAGGTTCCCCTGGAAACAAACTCTGAGATGGAAATGAGATGCACTTCAGTTTTTATTACATAGTTAGGTGGTATAGCCATCATCAGTTACATGTAACAATGTTCTTTTCATTGTAATGTGCTCAGATAGGACATTTGTCTTTGTCAGAATACAATATTATTAGTAGTCCTACGAATTACATTTCAAACAACTGTGATAAATTTGGTTTAACTTTTAAAATTGCTGTTTAACTGCATTGGCTTTCAGATATTAATGAACTTTGAAAAACAGTTGAAGCAGTAAATATCTGTTTAGTCACTAGGTCAATGGTTAATAATCCTTTTATCATGTTTTCCCCCCACAATAATTGTGCTATATATATCAAAGTTAAACTTTTATTTGTGGTTCCCACTATTCATAAAAATGGCTTGAGAAGTATTTAAAGGCAAGTTACAACTTACTACATGCTTCTTCATGTCAGCAGTTTTGTTGAGTGATTGGAGCACGCTATCTAAGGGCTGACTTTTCTGTGTAAGGTTATGAACAGTATCAGAGATTGCTTCGTGACTGGGAAGTGGGAAGAGGATAAAGATGCTGCTAAGATCTTAGCAGAAGATGGTAAGTAAACAGCTGCATTCTTCTAACTAACTTCTCAATACATTGTTTTATTTTTAAAGTATCTTAAAATTGCCATCAAGTTACTTCTCAATCATGACAGCACCTTTTTGTTCAAGATTGTGGCCTTTTGTAAGCAGATCACTAGGCTTGTCTTCCAAAGCACTTCTAAGTGGGTTTGAACCACTGTAAAACTGACGCATCTGACTTCCTCTAACTTCACAAAAGGATGGTGAGTTAAGATGAAGAGCTCTAGGCCGATTCCTCTGAGGTGTACAGACATGCCTCCACCTTCCTACTTTTTTTCTAATTCTCACATCAACCATGCCTCCCATGGGATTTTGCTTCCTTGCTGGCTTGACAATTTTTGCACTAGTCACACAGAACTCAAAGACATTACTCATGATTTGGGACGTTATTAGGGAAGTAATCGGATCAGAGACGACTCAGTGTATAGTTCTTTAATGAAGACAATCTCTGGTTTCTCCTTTCAGTTGTGGTTTTATTTTCACCTCTTTTTAATCAGTTACTTATTAGATTTTGTTTTTTCTGGCAAGTAAGAAACTTTCTGTAACTTTTATAATGCATTTGTTATAATTTTAAACTAAAAATAAGAGCAACACAGGTTATTCAAAAAAGTTTAATATTGCAGTGTAACATTCCAATGTAGAATTACTAAGATTGTGGGAGAATATGGTCTAGCCAGTATTAAATGTGTGATACTATTTTTGTTTTAGCAGAAATGGTATTTTTTTAATAATCATTTTATTGGGGACTCTTACAACTCTTGTTAAAATCCATGCATCAGTTGTATCTGGCATATTTGTACATATATTCCACCGTTCTGTTTTAGACATTTACTTTCCATTGAACCCTTGAGATCAGCTCCTCTTTTTTCCCCCCCTTCTTCCTCCCCGCCCCCACCCCCACCCCCCTGGCCCCCTGATAGATAGTAGATTGTTAATTATTTTCAAAGCTCATGTCGACCACGGTCTCCTTTCCCCTCAGGTTTCTGTTCTTCCCCCTGGATGGGAATGTGTGGCTATTGCCATTCATTGCAATCGGTGCCGCTCCCTCTCCACCACTTCCCCCCTCCCCTTACCTCTACCTTTTGTTATCTCTATTCCCATTCCTGTTCCTGGGTTCCACACGTTGTGAGTTTTATCTCTTGCCTATACCTATGTACATGCTCCCGTCTAGATTGGGAAGCAACAGTGGGGTCATGATAGCAGGGGGATGAGAAGGCCTCAAGGGATCAGAGGTATATTCCGTGACCCATTAGTGCTCTACTGCACCCTGATTGACTCAACCCCTCCCTGCAACTCCTCTGTGGGGGGAAGTTCCATTGTCCATAGATGGGCTTTGGGTCTTCACTCCAACCCCCCTCCATTCTCACCAATGCATTTTTGTTTGTTTGTTTACTGTTTGTTGTGTCTTCTGATGCCCATTTCCTGGTCTCAATGACTTCATGATCGCACTGGCTGGTGTGCTTCTTCCATGTGGACTTGTTGCTTCACTGTTGAATAGCCGCTTGTTTAACTTCAAGACATTAAGACCCCAGACACTATATCTTTTAATAGCCGGGCACCATCCTTTGTCTTCACCATATCTGCTTATGCACCCATTTTGTCAGCGATTGTGTGGGCAGGGGGCAGGGGGAAGTGTGAGCATCACAGAATGCCAATTTATTAAAACAAAGTGTTCTTGTATTGAGGGAAGGTATGAGCCAAGGCCTAAGGCCCCTCTGCAGCTTTAGTGTATTGCCTTATAAATATATGTACATAGGCCAGTACCACTGTGGTTATAGATTAATGTATTTACAGAAGTAGACACCTCTGTTAATCTCCCAATCTATGTCTTTGCTTTTCTAGAGCTTGCCTCTGTTTCCTTTTGCTTCCTCCTGTCCCGCCATCACTTTCTCCCTTCCACCTGTTAGTGCTTCCTCTCCACCAGCTTGGTGTTGCTTTAATACTCACAGGATCTCTACTCTTCCTAGATGCTGGTTCCGCTTCCCGCGTTGTTCCCCTGTCCATAACACTGCCCGCTCACCACACCCTTCTCCCTACCTCCTTCTTCCCCTGCTACCTTCCGGGGCCATTAGCCCCGTTGCCTTCTCCTTGGGCTTCTTCCCATGGTCCAACCCATATAATTAGGCAACTCAACCATGTCCTAGTCCATACAATAAGAAAGCCTACAGTTGAAGAAAGAAAAGGAAAAACAAAAAGACGAGAAAAAAGAAGAAAAAATAGGTCCAAGTCTGTTTGATAGTTCTCGTGAGACCTAAGGGAGATCGGGGGGCTGCCTCTCCTAGCCTGAAATCCATTCTTTGGCTCCTCGGGGGCTCTATGGCTGAGCTGTACTCCAATTGCTGATCTGTTATGCTCTGTTCCCACACTGTCCCTGATGTGTGTCTCCCATTAGTCCCCTGTTAGGGGACTCCAGTTAGGGGATAACCTGTCTTGAGTGTTGGTAGTCCCACAGTCCTCTCTGTGCCCTAGCAGCTCCATGCAGGGACCTCATCCTCTGGGCTTGGTGTGCCCATATGGAGTCTCGGCCGACTGCCTCTTTCTCTTTTTCCTTCTTGGTTTGCTTCCATCAGGGTATGGTAGGTCGGTTCCTTTCCCCCACCAGAAGGTCTAGTGTTGTTCTCTGTGGCACACACTTCCTTGGTGGGGTTCAGGCTGGTTCTGGTGAGGCGGCCCTGTAGTCCAGTTTTTTCACGCATTCCTCCATGTGTTCCATTGCCCTCCTGGTTTGGTGTGCCATGGTGGGTTCTGTATGCACGTTCCAATTTTGTGGAAACAACCAATACCCAGCCCCTGGGTGGGCTAGTGCCCTGTTCCCCCCATGTCATCATCTCAGTTTCTTCCCACCCCTATTTTTCCTCCATCTCCCTTTCCCCTTCATGTTGGATTCACATGTACCTCCTTGGGTTTGGTCTGACCTCCCCCCAGCGGCCTATGCTTCCACCCGTATATTGTGAGATAAGTGTCTTTTCTTCTATTCCTGCTGTGCTGATTATACTTACTTGGGGGGCTCATGTTATACTTGTCCTTTTAAGATTGGCTTACTTCGCTTAACATAATTCTTTCCAACTCTTCCTATGAAACGACATGTTTCGTGTGATTGTCTGTGCTTTTAAGTGCTGCATAGTACTCCATTGTGTGTATGTGCCAGAGTTTAGCAATCTACTCTGTCAACGGAAGTTTAGGTTGTTTCCAACTCTTTGCGATTGTGCATTGTGCCGCAATAAACATTGGAGCACAGATGACTGGTCGTGTTTTCTTTCTTACCTCTGGTAAGAAATATGTAAGGTGGCTGGGTCATAAGGTAAATCAATTTCCATTTTCTTTAAATATCGCTAGATTGCTTTCCATAGTGGCTGTACACATCTACACGACCACCAGCTGTTGAGGAGGGTTCCTATTTCACCACATCCCCTCCAACATTTGTTGCTCTCTGATTTTCTGATTTGAGCTATCCTCAGGGGTATTAGATGGTATCTTATGGTTGTTTTAATTTGCATTTCTCTTATGGCTCATGAAAGGGAACACTTTCTCATGTTTTTGTTGGCCATACGGGTCTCCTCCCTTGTGAAAGTTCTTTTCACTTCTTTCATGCACTTCCTTAGCGGGTGTGTTAGACAGGGTTCTTTAGAGATATAAAACCAGATTGCTGATAATTTTATATGTATATATTTATAAAGATAGATATAACACAAGAAATGAATTGTTAGATTATAAACAGATAGATAGATGTATAATACAGGAAATGAGCAGTTAAATTATAAAGCAGTACAAATGGTTCAGTGTAACTCACTCCTATGAGAGAGTTGTGAGACACTGGCAGCCCTTCAAGTCTTGAGTGCTGCCCGGTAGTCCTCTGTAGAGAGGGAGATAGGCTGTCCCAGCACAGGCAGTAAACAGCAAGGCAGGTCACCAACTATCAGTCCCCAGTTCAAGAGATGTAAATTCCATTCGTGTGGTCTTAAAGGGACCTCAGCTTATAGCGACACAGTCCACAGGCTAGGCGTCCCACAGGTAGTGTACCCTCTAAATTGAAGCACAGACAAGCAAGGCGGCCGCACACTGGTCCAATGATTAAAGAGTGAGAGAGACAAAAAAGGCGAGGCTCACCGAGCCATTTATCTCTCCGCCCTTCAATTAATCCCACTTGTGTTTATTGGCCAGGCTGGCACAATAAACTAACTATCTCAATCTACCCCTTGCCAACCTGGCACCTGTACATAATTCTTTAGCCATATATACTTATCATCAATCATCTATCATACATATAAATGAAAACACACTGAGTCCAACTGGATCTGATATATAATACCTGAACAAAGGAAAGATATGCAGTAAGCACATAAAAGGAAATACATTGACAATTACAAACCTCGCTTTTGCAATTGATTACGTGGTCGTAATTGATAGGTAAAACTACCTTCTTCTACAACCCATTCTGTATTACCTTTGCCCTCAGCAAGGACCTCAGCTGGCTGTGGTTTTTTGCCTGGTGAGGTGACCCAGACCTTCATTCCTGAGGGATCTGGGTCATTATAAGTCTTATCAGCATTGGGTTGCTGTAATTTACCATTTACTTTAATCACA